CACCACTGCAGTAGCAAACAGGCAGCTCTTTTTTTATAGATTACAGCACACTAAAATGTTGCATTGTGCCCTTGTTTATATTTTTAATAGTGTAATTCTGTAAAGACAAAATATGTCTGGTGATTTACATATCTTGCTAAATTGCGGGTTTCAATATTGCAATACTTTCCTATAATTAATAGACCTGCAGAAAAAAAGTACTAATAAAATATCTTACATATGTGTAGTTGTATGCTCTATATAGAGATTTTCCTTAGCTTTGGTTGTATATCTCACAATTTTGTAATTTGTCATTGTTTATTAAACTCTGAAAGCGGTGTGGCTTTGTTTATATTCTGTCCTAGAATGCGGTTAGATGTGCCTTTTTTTTTTTTTTTTTGAGCACCTCCCCCTTTAGTGGTCTCTGCACGGCCCTGTAGTTATTATAATGAATAGGATCACTTCTCCCAGGATTTAAAAAAAACTTGGTCTTGTGGAATATTGAATATTGTTCTTCCAATTTAGTCCAAATGTTAGAAACAAGCTATTATTATGAACTGATTAATTTATTCCTGACGTTTCAGTTTCTTTTGTTTGTACGACATTGTCCGATGACATGAAAGCACTGTTAAAATGATTCTCTCAATAACTGAACATTTAATGCAAAAGTCCTCCAGTAGGCAGTCTAAATGTTGTAATCTTTCCAGTAGACTAAGGTGTCAGCTAAATGCCCTCCATGTAAACTGAAGCAGATTTATGGAGCTAACCTGTCAACATTAACAGAGATGATGTTTTTGACTGGTGTGCTCTTGGGACCAGGAGCAGGACGAAACACTGGCTGTTGATTGACTGGTTTAGAGCGGTGGATGACGTATGTATCAGCAGAATGTGACGGATATATATCAAATGTTTCAGCTTTCATTCCTCCAATCTAAGACATATGAACACACATACTAATAAATGTATAATGCCCACAAACATCATATCTGATATCCACAGTTTCTCTTCATTGATTCAAGTAATGATTCACCCGTTTGCTGGGGGTGCGGGGTATGAAGGGAACTGTGGATACGTTCTTTTGGGGCTGGGGAGGCTTTTGAGCAGGTGGGAGAGCCTTGTGGTTGCGATATGGATTGACTTGGAAATAATCCTGTGGGTGAAGATTTATTCTGAAGGGCCCATCTCTTAGTTTGGAATGATGGATTGCTCCCTCTCTCTGTATACACACAGATTTGAACATATGTAAAATTAAAAGAAAAATGAGAACCAGCTGGAAACTGTATTAACTCCTTGCATATTAATTCATGTCCTAATGACAAACTTTAATGCATTTCTTTTGGATTTACACAGCTGCTGTCACATCCCACCATCAGCATGCTGTTCCAATCAAAATTACAACAGATATTTCCTGCTGGTCACATAATAGTAAACTGAATGTCTTCATTTGGCTTTTGGACTTAAAGCAAGAAATGCTTTCTGCCATCAAGGTCATGCCTTCTGGATGAGGAAAGACAGAAGGTTGGATGTGGTGAAGGCTCTGCTCAGAAAACAGCTTCACCTCACAAGGTTCTGTCAACACATACAGTGGTGACATGATGCTAGTATACAGTCCCATCAGGCTCCATCATGATTTAGACTGACTGCAGGGTTCTTGTGAGTACTCTTATGAGTGCCATAAATGTTCATATGGCCCAGTTTTCTTTATCTGACTGATACCAATATGTAAAAAAAATAACTAACATTAGCCAATACCTAACATTAGTGCCAATATATTATTTAATATATATTGCATTACAGTATATATTATTGTATTTTTTTTTTCCGTGGCCTCTCCCACCCCCCCTTGGAGGCGCCACTGTCTCACCACCTCAGTGTTCTTAAGTTTAGGCTTTCCCTCTACATTTCTTAACCACAAACATAATGATCATCTGATTAGTTTTCTAAGTTGAATCTGGGCAGCTGTTCTTTGTGGCTCAACCACATCAGTGACTAAAGGAGCAAATAGTCTGTAGTTTAACTACAGGGACCATAGCTGGGGCAGGAACTCTGACTCCTGGTTCATAGCTGCATTCATACACATAGTTATAGAAAATTCTCATGCAACAAACCTCTAATACTGACAAGGGCGTAGGAACGAGTCTGTCATTGGGGGGGACGCATATCGGAAACCTGACAGATCAGTAAATAGCTTGAGCAGA